CCATCCATCCACCTATCTACTTATCCATCTACCCATCCATCCATTCATCCATCCATCCATCTATTCACTCATGCATCCATCCATCCATCTATCCATCCATCCATCTACCCATCCACCCCTCCATCCACCCACCCATCCACCCATCCATCCATCCATCCATCCACTTATCCAGTCATCCATCCATCCATCCATCCATCCACCCATCCACCCACCCACCCATTACCTGTACCTGGTCAACTTATTATTACTTATTACTACTTCACCCACCCCTCCACACATACCATCCACACCATCCACTGGATGCCAGTCTGCCATTATCTCCCAGGACCCAAAGATGTGGACCCTTGAATCTGGTGGCCAGGACCTGAAGTATGGCTGGGAAGGCCAGGCCAAGCCCAAGCCATCACCTATTAGAACAGAGGCCTGTGCTCTAAAGGCAAGAGGGAAGCGGCCAAAGGCAAGGCCAGTTTGAACAGACTAGTCAGGGTGGGCTTCCTGGAGGAGGTGAGCTTTCTCGTGTTGTGAACTTGTGTTGTGAGTTCATGTTGTGAGTTCCAGCACCTTCCCCAACCTCAGCTTGCCCAGCTAACTCACCCCACTCTGACGCTGCAGCCCCAGTATCTCTTGCAATGCGTCGCCATTTCAGCAGCAAGCTTGCACATGGTTGTGGAAGAATAACTAAGGAACACTCCATGCTGAGCCTTTGGGCCCCTCATGGACCCAGGAGAGGGTGGGCCAGAAGCGGGAAGGGCTGGGAGGTGGAGAATGGATCCTAACTGCACAGCGGAATTAATCACAGGGCCTTCGCTTAAAGGACTTCACACATCATTATCCACCCTGGGAAGAGCAGCTTCACCCAGGGTGTGGGGAAAATTAATTAAAGGAGGGTGCACAGAGCTGGAGGGTGGGGGTGCAAGGCCAGCACCAAATGTGCACCTTAGTTAGACATCTGCGCTAAGTTGCAGACTGGCACGGACCGCACACCAGGCTCCCAGGGGATCTGGAGGGCACTAGTGCTTCCTGCTCCCGGTGGCTCGCGAGCCCAGGTCTTCACGGGCCACTGTGCAGCTCCAGGCTGGGCCCAGGTGGGTGACACTGCGCATGCGAGCCAAGTCAGGCCCAGCCTGGTCCTCTGCACGGTGTCACCAGGCATGGGTTGGGCCACAAGCCCACCCGAAACAGGGACGCAGGGAGGGGCTCAGAGAAGCTTCTGGAAGAAACAGACTGGTGAGCTGGAAGCACACAGGCACAGAGCCGCCAGGACAATGTCCAGGAAATGGGAACAGCACCAGGGTACAGTGGCAAGAAGCATACAGCCTCCTCGGAGGTAGATGGCAATGGTGCTGGACTTCGTCCTGAGGGCAGTAGGGAGCCATAGAAGGGCTTTGAGCAGGAGAGTACTGCTGTCGGGTCTGGGTTTCACCTGGCTCCTTTGGCCCCATTTGAAGGATGGTGCAGAGGGCTGGAGAATGGAGGCAGAGTGGTTGCTGGCTGCTGTACAAGTCCAGGTAGGAGAGAGTGGGGCACAGACGGGGGGATGGGCACCATGGGTGTCAGGCAAGCACCAGGAGAAGCCGTCTAAGGGCAAGACCTGGGGGGCCAGAGGGGAACAGCAGCCCTGCTGGATGGAGCCACCATGCCCCGCTGGCGGAGACCCCCTCTGGGAAGGGGTAGAGCCCGAGCGTTCTGCTCAGACTGGCACTGCATCTAGGCACACACCTGCCCTGCTCGACCTGCCGCACAGGGCACGGCTGAGGCCTTGGCCAAGGTCACTGTGACCCCTCCCACGTCCACCCCACTGCCCGCCCTTCTCACATGCAAGCCCTGCCCCAGGGTCCCTCACGGTATAGGCCTTTGGCCTCAGTGCATTGAGAGGGAGGGTGGGGGCCACAGCAGCCCCCTTCCGGGAGGGGAGACGGTGCCCTTGCCCTGGCACAGCGGAGCCCTAGTTACAAACACATGCCACACCAGCAAGTTTTGCTCAGCCACGACGTGCTGGGCCTGAGCTGCTCTACTATCCTTTATTATTACTGTACTGGGGTGAGTGTATAGAGTGTGATTTTTTAAAATGCAGTGAATGTTTTTAAAAAATCACAGTAAAAGATACATTGCCCTGAATCCCCCTCAAAATCCTCCCCCTTACTTCAAACACACTCGTCCCATTGACCTCACCACTTTCCGCAGCAGCTCTGGAGTCCTCTTTCCTGAGTGTCTTTCTTTGCACTGTCCTGGCTGTGTTGATGTCTTGAATCGACTCCAAATGTTTCCCTTTCGTGGTCATCTTGACTTTGGGACAGAGCCAGAAGCCACGTGGTGCCAGACCCTGTGATCAAAGTGGATGAGGACCCACTGTTATGCTTTTATTTGACAGAAATTGCCATAAAGTTCTGAATCAACGAAAGACATCAAGGCATGAAAAGATACTCAAGGAACAGGACTTCCAGAGCTGCTTCAGAAAGTGGCACAGACAAGGGGTGAAGTTTGCCTGAAGAGAGGGGAAGGCATTGAGGGCGATTCACAGCTGTGTTTTTTACTACAGTAACTTTCATTTTTATTTAAGCACACACCGTATTTTTTTTGGTCAGGCTGTATATTCCTTCCACTTATAAAACAGAGGTGGCAGCAGCCCACCTGTCCAGTGTTCACCGTGTCCTCTGATGGCGCCATTTTCCCCTCTGGGCTGGGTCTCCTCGTGTGGCCTCAGCTGACCAACCATCACGGGGTCCCCAAAAGAGAGGAACTGCTGGCCCCATTCCCCAGTTGAGAACACTGAGGCTAAGAGAAGGAAAGTGACCTGTCCAAGGGGACCGGCTGCTGGTAAGAGGCAGAGTCTGGGCTTACCCGGAGGCGTCACATGCAAATGGGACGCAGAGGGGTCACAGAGGGTTAATGTACGGGGGGTCTGGGGCAAGTCCCGCGGGCTGTCTGGTGCTCAGTTTCCTCCACAGCAGTTGGCAGTCATGCTGCTGCTCTTGGGCTGTTGTTGGGAGGCCATGGTCTGGGTTTCCCGACTATAGGTGATGCCCAAGATACTACCATGATGCTCTGGGGCAGAGGGCAACCCATCCTCTTTTGGCCTGGGCTCCAGGACAAGGCACTGTCTCTGGGGAGAATCCCAGGGGCACCTGGGAGCAAAGATGCCTCCAGAGCACTGGGCTCTCCCAGTGCCTGGCACTGGGGTGGGGAGGAGGGCTGGGCTGAGGCCAAGGCTTCTCTTAGCCTCCACACAGGGAGGGGAGTCTTTTCTCCTCTGAGAAAGTGATACTGGCTCTGAACTTGGCAGCATCTTCTGATTACCTGTTGTGTGGCCCTGGGAAAGGTACATAATCTCTCTGATCCTCCCTGTCCTTGGCTGAAATGATGCAAGAATAACCCCTTGCTCATGGTGGGTGGAGGAGCCCAGGCCCAGCCAGAGGCATGCAGACAGAAACCTGGGCTCTGGAAATCAGTTTCCTTTCCTTCCTCCTGCTTCAAAGCCACCCAACCAGGAGAGCTCTGGACAGGCTCTGTGGGTGTCCCCGGCCTGTGGCCGCGACACACCCCTCGGCCACCTGACCCTGGCCACACCCTGTCGGCGGAGCTGACTCACGCAGATGCGGACTGGGGCTGGCGCGAGGCCACACAGGCAGCAGCTGCCGGTCCTGACCGCGGCTCTGCCCTGCTACCGGCACAGGACTCAGAGTGCTGGGCTCTTCCTCCCCCAGGCTCCCCGGAGACGCAGGGCTTGGAAGGAAAGGAGGCCACAGGGGAGCCCACGCCCTGACAGCAGGCAGAGAGGCCAGGCCGGGAGCACGGAGCCAGGAGGGACAACAGGGCCTGCGGAGGTGCGGCCGGGTCTGCTCCATGCCCACAGCCTCCCCTCCGTTCCTTGTTGCATCGAGGAAGTCTCCCAGCTGGGTCACCCTGGGGAAGTCACAGGGCCTGGTTTTGCTGCGTGTAAAGAGGAATCCACAGAAACGCCTTCTAGGATGGCTGGGAGGGCTGTGGGAGCCCAGCTGAGGGAACCTGACTCGGCCCCAGTGGAGCAGGTGCTGACTGCGCCGATGCGCTGCGCAACCCGGAGGGGGAAGAGAGGCGAGCACACGCCTGCTCCAAAGCCGGCTCACAGCAAAGGCAGGTCTCGCGCTCGGAGCGGTGAGCCAACCTGGCCAGGCCCAGAGGGCTGCAGTGGAGAAGCCCGTCCTGCCTGAGCAGCCTGCTCAGCCCTCGCAGGTGTAAGGGGACTGGGGCAGGTTTTGCGCTCTCATGAGCTGTGTGACCTCGGGCTGGGCACACGACCTCTCTGGGCTGCCTAGGCTGCCTTCCAGCAGCTCTGAGATGAGGGTAGTGCCGAGTCCCTGCGCCCAGCATTGCTGCAAGGTGTAAAGGTGTGGGGGCTGCTTGGTGAGACTGAGGCCTGAACACCCCACTGGTGATTACTCCAGGCTGCCCCAGGGAGTGCTGGCTGGGTTGGATGATGCCAGGGTGCTCGTCATAGTAATCCTTATCACCTCTCTCTGCGTGGGTTCAAGGCCCCTTGTGGGAAGGTGGGAAGATGCCACCAACCATGAGAGCTGCTGGCTACAGAGAATCCAAACCCGGGTTAGACAGACGACGTGGAAGCTGGGAGTGGCTCTGTCACCTGCCCACACCGGCTGGAAGCCACAGGGCTGTGGGGTGGAGTGGAGGCCCGAGGCACAGGTGGGGACGCCACTCCCTGGCGAGTCCCTGTCTACCTGCTGTGGTCCACAGATGACAGACTGGGCTGTGTGCGATGGGGCAGCGCCTGGCAGTCACCAGCTGGTGTGCCAAACCCAGCGCTCAGGGTGTGACCTCAGCTTGTCACCTCCACTCCCAGCTTGTCACCTGTGAAACTGTTGGTGAGAACAGAAGGATCCTCGGGCTGGCCGGGTCTGAGAAGATCCCCACGAGAAACAGCCTGGGGCTGCCTGAGCAGGTCGTCATCAGTGCCAGGGTGCTGACGGGGAAACTGAGGCTCGGGGAGACCCAGAGCCCTCAGTCCCCCCACCTTCTGCTTTCACCTTGGGGAAGTGATGAGGACATCCCGCATGCAGCTCCCCCCGGCTCCCTGGTGCCCCCTGGGGGAGCCTGGGACACTGGGGTGTGACCCTGGGTGCACCTCAGCAGGTCACAGGAAGACCAGCAGGTCCCAGGACAGCCTTGGGTCCAGGCTTGCCCCTGGGAGCTCTGTGCGGCAGGGACCTTGCTGCCAGCCTGACAGGGCTCCACCCCTTTCCCTGTGGTGAACGCTGAGCCAAGAGCCGGCTCTGTCCCGGAGGTGTGACCACCTCCATCTGTGAGCCGAGGAGTGGCCTGGCCAGTGCAGCGCTGTCCCGGACTGTCAGGGTCTCCTGGGAGCCCTGCAGCGTGAGCAGCTGCGGTGCATTTCTCTTCCTAGCACTCCTTGGGCCGGAGATGTCGGGCTTCAGTCTCACGGTCCCGCCGGGTGTCCCCAGGCTGGTCCACACCTGGCAGTGAGGGTCAGGCTCCATTTCCCAGCTCCCTGCTGGCAAAATCCAGGTTCTGTGGGCTAAGGATGGGTCCCATCTCCGACTCTTGCCAGGAACACCCCCTCCTGCCCCAGTCCACCTCACTTGGCACTCTGTCACCACAGGGCCTCATCTTAGTCACTTTCCTGTCGCTGGGACAAAACACCCAATACCCACAATGCAAAGGAAGAGGGGTCTGTTTGGACTCATGGCTTTAGTCCGAGGTCAGCTGCTCCAAGGCAGAAACAGCACGGTAGAGAGGCCTGGCGGAGGAAAAGCTGCTCACGTCATGGCGCACAGGAAGCAGAGGAGCAGGGGCAAGAACACGACTTCCAGGTCATGTCCCCGTGACAGCCTCTAACAGGCTCCTCCTCCCAGAGGAGGAGGCATCGGACGAATCCACTGGTGTGTACAGCGCCCCTCGATCCAGTCACCTCCCACAAGCACCTCCTCTGAGTATGGGGGTTTTGGGGACATCTAGCTCTAAACCACAACAGGCCTCCTGGGCACCGGAGACACTCTGCTCTCAAAGGGGTCTGTGGCCAGGTGCACCGCTCAGCTCCTTGCCCCAGGCCAACTGATCAGCACCCTTAATTACATCCCCGAACTTCCTTTCCCCGTAAAGCACAGTTGCAGGGTCCCCCTGGGAAGGAGGCCATGGGAGGTCTGAGCCAGAGCTGCCCGTGCACCCTGTCTACAGACAAAGCCCAGCTTTACCAGAGGGCTGGGAGCAGCCTGCCCGGCCTCCCGCTCTGGGGAGAAGAGAAGCTGTTCACCATTGGGCTCAGAGGGAGGCAGTACGGGCACAAGGGGCAGAGTGTAGCTCTGGCTCCAGCAAACTGTGCTGCTGGCATCTATGCACACTGTCTGCCCTGGAAGGCTTCTGGGTGCTCAGCTCTTCCTGCCCAGGTTCCCAAATCCCTAAGACCACAGTGGCATCCGCACCTACTCTGTGCCTGGCCTGAGCTGTCCTGCCTCGTATCTCTTAAGGATGAGCACACTGAGACTGCGAACACCACCACTCTCTGCAGCAGCCGGATTCAGACTCAGCTCTCCCTCTGCAGCCCTTGCCCCCAGGCATCGGGCAGCCCTGTCTGCCTGGTCACCTGCTCCTACAGCACACGGTCCCCATGGTCACTTGGAAGAAGGGGAGCAGCTGCGGGCAGCTGGCCCGACCTACTGACAGAGGCAAGGGGTGGCAGAGGCCAGGGAGCCCCATGTTTCAGAGCAGGACGGGCTAGAAGCACAGGCCTGGCCGGTCACCAAGCATCCTCTGTGAGGGCCCCGGGTGGGTGTCTGCAGCTCAGGCCTCCACGTTCAGAGAGCCCCATCTTTCATCCCCTTTAGATGGTAGGAAAACACCATCGCAGCATGGGCACCCCTGTCCCCACTCTGCTCCAGGAGTGGCACAAGTGCCTGTCCTACACTCTGGAGCCGGTCGGAGGTCAATCCTGGTATGGCACACACACAGCCCATCCAGAGGGGAAAGGGCTCTAATAGCGCTCATCTCTGCCCTTGTGTCTTGATTAGGGAAATGGAGCCAGGGGAAGAAAGGGCTGGAGAGAGCCTGGGAGGTGGGCACTGCCACCCGGGAAGGGGCCAAGGCTGGGGGCTCCTCCCCTGCCCTCCCGGGGAGGGGTCTGGTGGGACGGGGGTGGAATGCCTGCTGCCCCAACGTCTAATTAAATGGCAGCAATTTTGACGTGGCAGGTGATAGGCTCGGGAAGCCTGGCTTTAAATTTAGCTTCCTCCCCAGCCAGCCCTTTGAAAAGGCTGCACTCGCGGAGAGAGAGCATGAGTCATCCCAGGCGGCCCGGTGAGCCAGGGTTTGCGGGGGAGCAGGCCTCCCGGAGGCAGCGACATAGTAAATAAGAACGGGGGATGATAGCAGGGGACGCAGAGCATGGCGGCCGAGAGCCCGGCTGGGGGAGCCGCCTGCGTGAGCTGAGACCTCCCAGCCCATCCCCAGGCCAGGAGGCCCGACCGGATTTGTGGGTCTGTGTGCGACCGTGATGTGGGTGCGTTCAGGATCAGCTCGCCCTCCCGGCACCCGCAGCCTGCTCGGGCCGCCGGCTCCCGCAGATGCCCCGCCCCTCGGGAGGCCACGTCCGCATCCCTGGACTCTATGAGCACGGCCTTATACGGCAGGCAGGGGAAAGGCCCGTGCAGACGGACGGAGGCAAGGACATGGACATGAGAGGAGGATCCTGGGTGCCCTCAGTGCCTCCCCACCTGCTTCCATCATGTGCGGCTTCCACTAGAGGAGGGCATGTGGATTGCGAGGGTCAAGACGCTGGCCTTGAGCCCTACAGTGATGCGGCCGCAAGCCAAGGATGCCACAGCTACCAGGAGCTGGATGGAGGGAAGGCTCCTCCCTCTGGCAGAGCAGGAGGCGAGGCCCCTGGAGGTGTGTGGTTTTGCTGCTGGCCAGAGGAGGAGGGTGCAGGGCCCTGGAGCTGGGGGAGGCGCTAGGGTTGGAGAAGAGGCGAGTGTGGCTGCAGAGGTCGGCCGTGTGCTGTGCTGCCCCCTGCCGGTAGGGCTGGACGCCGCATTGTCCCACTCAGGCTGGGCCCCGCACTCCTCCCTGGCACTCCTTGGCACTCCAGACCCACCACACAGATGCCCACGCATCTGCCACACTCCTTTCATCCACTCCATGTGTCACAGGGTGCACACACTACACAGACACTACACACACATGCACCACACACACCACACACACACTTCCCGCACACATCACACATACACACAATCACATCACGCACCCACCCACATCTCCCATCACACACTACTCCCGCTCGTCAAACCGTACCCCACATGTACACCACATACACATACATACCACCCACGTGCTACACACACTGCACGAACACTACACACACATCCCACATGTACAAAACCTGTACAACACAGACACGCCATCCACACCCTCACACTCCCCATATGGCACAACTACAAGACACACACAACACGCACTGCATACAGTATACACTGCGCACTATAGAGACCATGAACCCCACACACCAAGCAATACACCATATACCATGACAGCACACACACACTCCCGCCCACCTGCAGGGATGCCCCCTCCTGCCCACCCCATCCCCCGAGGCCCCGACATGCACCTCTGCACCACAGCCCAGCCCACAGCGCTCAAGGGCTGCCCTCTCCACACAGCCGGAAGGAAATCGGGGCGCTCTGCTGTGCCCAGCCCTCCACCCATCCCTGATCCCCTCTGGTCCCCAGCTTCCTCCTCCATGAGGGCAGCTCTCCATCCCCCAGGGGTGTGGGCACAGAACACCAACACTCAAGGAGCTCCATGCCATGCCAGAGCCCACATGGCCAGCCAGGCTCAGAGCCGCCTTGCTCCAAACCCACAATCCTACCCACTGGACCACACACCCCAGCCTCTGCTGCTGTCAGCCCAGTGACTGAGCGGGCACTGCCCCCACCCCAACCTCACCTGCTGGGCGTCCTCAGATGCCCCACTCAAGGCGACTGCTGAGACCACATCCGTAGAAGAGGAGGCCCCGGATGCCCGCTGGCAGATGTGGAAACCCAGGCCCCACAGTGCAGGCTTGCGGGGGGCACTGTGTCCTGGCACACCACCCCGGCTGGGCGCCTCCTCGGGCACGCGGCCAAGCCTCTCTGACCCCGATACCTTTGACTTGACAGGAGCTCTAAGTGTGGCTTCAGCGACAGCACCGCCCTGTGGGCCCTGGTTGGGCAGCCCGGGTCTCCAAGTTGTGTCCTTACACTTTCGAAACTCGGCTCTCTCCAGCTGCTGGACAAACAGGCGCAGGTGTCTGTCACTGGGCACCGGAGAGGTGCGGGGTCAGGCACGCCTGGGCCTTGACTCTGCCCCTGCCCTCTGTGTGGCTCAGAGCAGTGTCCTGCCCTCTTTGAGCCCCGGTCGCCCGTCTGTAAGGTGGAAAGGACACCGCCCAGCGCTGCAGCCAGGAACAAATACAGCCTTTGAAGGGCTCCGCCAATCTGCCTGCGAGGTTCAACCAAAGTCTATAAAAATAAAACCAGACCCAACATGCAGGAGACTCGCGCAGTGCACGCAGCGCGAGGTGGAACTGGGGCCTGCACCTTTGGACACTAGAGCCCTCTCCCCTCGCAAATGACACAGGGGCCTGCGGGGTCCCGTCCTCAAGCAGAGCAAGGTGGGGAACAGGGCGGCTGGTGGCTGGTGCAGCCTCCTCCTGCAGGCATGGGGGTCTGACAAAAAAGAGGGGGTGTGGGAGGGAGGGCAGGGAGGTGGGGCGCTCCCCAGAGGGCAGCTGGACAGAGGCCCTGTGGGAAGGGAAGGGTCCTCCAGTCCAGCCTGACCCTGACCTTGACCACCTGGGTGGAGCTGGGGTAGGGGCGGGGCCTCGGGGCTCCCAGGCGTCGCCGGCCGGAGCCGTGGGGAGAGGCAGGTGAGTGCTGGGGACCGGAGACCCGGAGCCCAAGGCTGGGCTGGGAGGGGAGCAGGAGAGAAAAAGGAGGCGACAGGAACAAAGGAAGAAGCAAGAAGGGAAGAGGAAGGAAGGGAAGAAGGGGAGGGGAAGGAAGAAGGGAGGGAGGGCGGGGAGAGGAAAAAAGTGGAGAAGGAAGGAAACGAACTAGTGAAAGGGAGGCGAGGAGGGCGAAATGCGAACGAGAAGCGGAAGGGAGAGCGAAGGCTCGCACCGGTCGCGAAGAAAACCCGGGGAGCAACCCGAAGGAGGAGGGAGAAAGGGCGAGGGAGGAAAAGAGATTGCGAAAGAAAACCCAGAGGAGAGCGAGCGCGGAGGGCGAGCGCGAGAGGAGCGAGCGCAGGGGAGGAGCGGCGCGCGCGGGGGCCGCG